CACCAACCATGTTCTCTGTCACTCTGATGCTGCTGCTGTTAGCAGCTGGATCAGGTAAGAATTTCTAGATTCGTGAGAATCACCAGATCATGGTTTGAAACTCACAAAATGTTGTTTTTCCAGGAGTTCGGTCTGAGACTCTGAGACAGTCAGCCTCTGTGTCTGTGCTGCCTGGTGAACGACTGCAGATCACCTGTCAGGTCTCTTATTCTGTTAGAACATATGTAACAGCCTGGATCAGACAGCCTGCAGGAAAAGGACTGGAGTGGATTGGTTACATGTGCTCTGGATGCACAGGAGCTCGCAAAGATTCTTTAAAGAGCAAGTTCACTATTACAGTACAAGAGTCCAGTAACACAGTGACTCTGAATGGAGAGAATCTGCAGCCTGAAGACTCTGCTGTGTATTACTGTGCCAGAGAGTCACAGTGATACAAATAAGCAGGAGAGCCATACAAAAACCTCTAAGGACCTGAACACATACATTATAAAACCACCAGAGGAGGCGCTGTAAAACCATTAATGACTTCATTGGACATTCTTTTTCAAAGTCCATGATAATTATTATGGAAAACTTTTAATTTTACTTGTTTTATTTTGTTTTCCAATCCATCACAAAATTCTTAGCACACTATAAAATCAAAGACTGTTGTTTGCGATTTACTGTTTCAAAACCTTCTGTGAAATAACGGGTCAGCATAAAAAAAAGTACTTTTGTGTCAAATTGGTTTGTATGATTTGTAATAGTCCAGTTTATGGTGATCCTCACTCTGCTAATGAATTATCAACTAAAATCTCCACCACTAAACACAAAATACCATCACTCAGAGATCTGCATCCTGTTCAAAACATCATATAAAGTAGATCAGCAAGATTATAAAGTAATGCAAGACCCATTTGTGACTGGTTAACCTGTCATTAAGCAATGAACTGCCACAAAATATAAATTGAGATTTTTACTTTTGTGTTGAAAAAAGTATATTAAAGTATATCACCAGTGATGGCATAGCTATCGGTTTACCTCCGTACATAACAGTTGTGGTGAAATGGAAGTCATGCAAATAAACATTCATAAATCCTGATTTAAGTTGAATCTTTATTGCATCAAGTATATTCCCAGTAATAATATTGCCCTATCAGTTGCTTTGAAGCCATTTTAATTACTGAAGAGAAAAATAATTTTTATATTTTGTAGTTGTTGCAAAAACAAAGATTTAGGGATCCTTTAGTCCTCAGATATCTGTAATCGTAACATGAAATATTTGAGTGAAAAATGTTTCTGTAGATGAAAACTTAACTGAGTCAGTTTCCTCTGCTTCACTGCGGCTCCTTGAACAGAATTTAACCAACTCTCAAGTGTTTTCTATATAATTTGTACCAAAAATGTAGTTTGTGTGGAAGGAGCTGACTTCAGTAAAGTTTTCTCCCTGCAAACACACACACACCGCTCCGTCCTCAGGAACATTAGAATCTCACATTCTTGGAGAATTTAAATCCATTGGTCTAAAGCAAAAACAAAGTATCTGCAGCTGCTTCAAACACACAGAGAAGCTCAAAAACTTTTCCTTGTTTTATTGCATATTTATAACTGTAGCTGGTCAACATTACGGAGATTAAAATATGTGTTTTTATCTAACTAAATTGCTACTCAAATAATGTCATGTTTGATAAAAACTTAATGTAAGAGAAGTTGTTTAAAAACTGCAGAATAAAGAATAATTGAGTTGTATGAGCTCAAAAAAACAAACAGTATGGGGAATCAAATAATTGTTCTTATTTATGATTAAGATTATGAAGGATAATAAAAAAGCACATCCATATAAAGATGCAACATGATGTTGTTGTTTTTTTTCCCCAACCAAAAATTATATTAAAATAAAATAAGCACAAAATAAGAGAGACCAGAAACATAAATATAAATTGGGATTATCTGAACTTCTAAAACCAAACAAAAATAAAATAAAATAAAAATAAATAAATAAAAAGTCAGAAATAGCCAAAGGCCAAGAAACATGATTTATTTTTGAACAATTTCTTGTGTTTATATTACACATTATAAAATGAAGGTGCTATTTTGCTGCACATCCTGTTGATTCAGTTAATGTGAAACTAAACTTATCGTGACATAATATCAACAACAGCTTGATTCTTGTGAACAAAAAGACCAACTGAAGCCATTAAACTTAGAAAATATTAAAGTTGAGTGTAATATAATGTTTATTATTTATATTTGAACTGTTAGCTGCAGAAACATATTGAGACATATTGAGACAGATTAAAGCTGTTTCTGTCGTTTAGATGTTTATTAAAAGATGAGAGGAAGCAGCAGGTCTGGTTTGGTTTCTCCAGTTCCTGGAAGCTCTGAAGGATTGCTCTCCGTCCCTCAGCAACTCTCTACTTCCTCTCCGACCACTCTGAGGTCTAGTTCTTGTCACGCCACCCCGTGTGAAGCAGTGAGCAGCTGTGGTGATGGCAGAGTTTCAGCAGCTGGTTGTCAAACCGTGCTGCTTGTTCATCATGAAGGTCGTGCTGCTGATCACGCTGCTCACAGGTAATAGTCCTGTTCTGATCTAGTTTGTGTTGCTGCAGTTCTGTGTGTTTCTACATGCAGGATTTCCAGGGTTTTTGTTCTTTTTTTTGTTCTGTCTGTGAAATGAACCAGAAATGGAGACGTTTAGCTGATTGTTAATGTTCTGTTTTCAGTGTCAGGAGGTGATGGCAGGAGAGTTGTTGGTCAGACGGGTCAGAATGTGACTCTGCCCTGTAAATATGACATAAAGACTAACGGAGCGGTGTATGTTTGCTGGGGTCGAGGAGAGTTACCGAACAGAAAGTGCAATAATCAGCTCCTCTCTACAGACGGACATAAAGTTCTAGAAGAGACCAGAGCTTCCAGCAGGTATCAGCTACTGGGACGACTGGATGAAGGAGACGTTTCTCTGACCATCCTCAAACTCACAGAGGAAGATGCTGGACGATACGGCTGCAGAGCAGAGATACCTGGATGGTTCAATGATGAAAAGCATCATGTTGACTTGACAGTTGAAAGAAGTGAGAAATTACTCAGATGATCATGAAAATTAGTCTAAAGGCAACATGGGGCAACTGTTGATATAAGCTGAAGAAAAGTTAATGAAAACTCTTTTTGCTTTTTTTTAAACAGGGTGCAAAAGTAATGTTACAGGTGTTTGGAATGAGATCAAATTGCAGCAGCCTCAATCCTCTGAGGTGAAAAGACCAGGAGACACTGTGAAGATTTCATGTGTCACATCTGGTTACACAATGACAGATAATGACATGAACTGGATAAGACAGAAACCTGGGAAAGGTTTAGAATGGATTGGGTGGATAAACACATGTTCAGCTGTTGCTACCTATGCCAGCTCCTTTCAGAGCCGTTTCAGCTTCACTCAGGATGTTTCCAGCAGCACTCAGTTCCTGCAGATCACCAGTCTCACTGCAGAGGACTCTGCTGTTTACTTCTGTGCAAGAGAGCACAGTGACTGAAGACAGTGGAGCAGCAGTACAAAAAATCCTAGAGCAATATGATTATAATGTGTCTGGTCTGTTTTATCAAACAGTACAGATGCTAACACTTTTATGATTCTTTTCACTTTCTACATTTCACTCATTCATTACTACATCTATAACCATTGTCTCAAAGCTGTAGTCTGTAAACATTTCTTCTCCACCTCTACACATTGTCATGATGTGCGGATAATGGAGGTGAGGAAGACGCCTGGAAGCCCAGGCTGTCATTGTAAAAGTTGATTTACTGACAAAAAACTCAGGAACAGACAGTCGCCGAAACAATGAAATACGATGAGGACCCGACAAGAGACAAAGACAACAGGTGGCCTTAAATACACATGGATGGTAATCAGGGAATGAAACACACCTGGGAAGCAAACAGGGAAGACAAGACAGGGACAGGACTAAACACAGAAAACAAAGAAGACAACACTCATTTAATATTTTCCACCATGAATGGGAAGACAAGACTTGAGAGAACAAGAAGAGAAAAAGATAAAAATATAAAAATACTTGGTGTAAATTTTATGGTTATTAATGCAAAGATGCAGCATAATTAGTTTTTTTGGCAGTTTTACTGTGTATAAGGGTTTAGGAATAAACTCAATGTTTTTAATTCAAATCATGATCATAGATTAAAGTGCTTGAGAGAGCAAAATTGTAATGAACAAAAAAGCATAAAAGCATGGACAGCTATGTAAAGATTTTTCTTAAATTAAAAATAATATAAAGTTTGCACTTGTATCTTGTTCTAGATCAACAGCTAATGTGTCACATTTAAACTGACTCCAACTTATTGTTTTTATCTTTCCTTTACAAAGATAGAGATTACAAGAAACTGTAACAAATTCAAAAGCTGACATGTTTTATGTTGTTTTGTTTAGAAAATAGCATAAAACAAGAAACATTCTGAAAGCTGTCCACTATTTATAAAATGACTAATAAAGTATGTTATAAAATAAAAGTTGCTTCATTTTAGATATTTGTATCTTTAAATGCAAATGT